GTGCACAATCTATATTTTCCTTAAGTGTCCGGGGCTACCCGACTCTCTCCTAATATTAACACATCATTATTACGTAGGGGAAAGCGGGCAACATGGCGAATGGGGCAAGATGGATTTTCATATAACAACTCAACAAAAATACTTAAAATTGGGTGAAAACGAAACTGTATTTGCATCTTGTATTTTAAAACACTAATTGGCTTTTTGAAATAATATTAACGCAATTTTATACACATAAGTTTACTTTTAGCGCCTAAAAAAAAACACCTTACTTTCGGTTCCTCATAATGGATGGTGTCCTTCAAGTATAACTTCTTTAGAAGTAGTTTTTTGTAATTTTTGTTTATTTTTTGTTACTTTAGTTAGAGTTATTGGTAGTTTTAAAATTTTTATAAAATTGGAGGTAAAATTTGTATAACAAGTCATCTTGCCCCGGTCACGTGACCAGATGACAAATTTATGAACTTTTTAAATTAATATATTTATTTCAAATTGTTATATTTGCAAACTGAAAATTCATCCAGGCAATGAAAGAATTTAATAACGTAAACATACTGAGAAAGTATTATGTCTTCACGACTTATAGTTTTGCAACAACTCAGGGCTTTCAAAACGTTTGCCATGTTGCCCCGCTTTCCCCTAATAATAATAATAAACAAGTGATAATAAACACATTATTACACACAGTAATAATGAACATATCATTATTATGTAATAAACATGAAATTTTTAATTTTGCTTATAAACTATCCTTTTTTTTTTGGCTTTTCAATCACCTCGAATGATTTTTGGATAATAATAATTCTTTGAAAATAATAATAATACGAGATAATAATATCTAATTTTTTTAGTTTTTGAACTATTTAATTTTTTACTTTAACTTTACTCTAATTAAAAAAGAGACAACAACAAAGTAAAATAGGGTAACTTAATTGAACCTCGTCCACTTCCGCACTGAAATGTTGACAGGCTATTATTAGACTTCAGCTATTATTAGACTTCAGCTATTTTAGATATCAGATTTTAGTGCTTTAACAAATTGTTTCATGTAGCCAAGTTTAAGATAGAGAGGTGGAAAAATTATTTTGTTTTGACTAACAATCGGTTCATTCACAATATTTTGCATGCTTACTGTGAGAGTCTTGCGAATGGGCTATTCTTTTTGTATCCAGTGTTGATTTCTCGCTCGACTGTCCCACATACAGAGATAATATGGAAATTTTGTAAAACCTTTCTGCTGACCAAGTAGAAAGTTAACCATTTTTAGATCTACACAAATAATCCAGTTGTGTTCATGATATTTAATCAAGTTAAGCACCATTTTAATGTCATCGTAAGTTTCTTGCGAATAAACAGAATGACCAATTGGTACTGTTACTACTGGTACCAATTGGTAATTGGTAACCAAAAAAATTTCCATTGTGCAATATAACGCGTTTGAGGCTTCACTTTGAGCTATCAATAAAAAGTCTCCATTCTGCTGGATTATATACAGAAATATCCAACTGTAGTAGGAGACCTGAAATATCATGACAGTAAACAAATAAATTGACTTCTGAAAACAAGTCAACAAAAGTTTCATCTCTTGTTCTAAAATAAGATACTTTTGCAAAGTTATCAAGTAGTTTTTTTTCTTTTAATTGTGATACTAATACTTCTGCTGCTTGTTTAGAAAGTCCTAAATCACAAACTAAGTCATTTAGTTCTATCTGACTAAAACACTGAGGCAAACTGAGTTGTTTAGCATTAGATGAGAAGTCTTTCAAATCTGGTAAAAATTTTTCTGTTTCTGTAGCAGACACGCTTTGCTCATCTTCTGACAAAAATAAACCTTTGAAAATTGGAAATGGAATGTTGGGATAAGATATTTTTTGTCTCTTAGTTTTGCCAACACCTCTAGTATCAATAAGACAAAAATAGCAGTCATCAATATGATTTAGTGGTTCCCTCCAAACCATAGGGACTCCAAAAGGTAAATTATTTCTTTTTCCTTTTTGGATTTGGATTCAGCGTTTAAAAATACATAAAAATAAGTTTCAATATCTCATGCAACAGAAAAAAAGTTTTTTTTGTAGACCTGTGTTATCTGTGAAAAAACTAGTATTATAATTACACAATTACATTAAAATAAAATTTTTATTCAATGTAATTGTGAAAATTTTTTAAATTTTTTTGCAAAATTGTACTAAAAATCAAATAGAAAATAACAAAAGAATAGGTTTAAAAAATATTTAGAAAATAATAGCTGAGCAGAAAGTGTCTTAGGTAAAGGTTAACCATGATCAAATGACACTTTCTAATGTAATAGGTATGCATTAGGTTAAGATAAATTTGAAATAAATATAAGCAAGCGTAGCAAGCAAAGACTTTTTTTTCAACATCTTTGCTACCAACAAGGTTGCAAGCAATTATGTTTACAATGCATTTTTGTACCTTGTCTAAAAGAGAAAGGGCATCATTGAAAGATTCGCCCAAAATATGGCAACAGTAAAATGGATTTGAGATTTATAGAAATAAAGAATAGAATCCAGAGTAAGAAAGTGGCAAGCACGATAAAGAGATGCAACCTTAGCAGATGCTAGTTTTGTAATCGATTTGATATATAGTTTCCAAGAAAGATCCAAAGTAGGAGTTAATCCTAGAAGATAAAGAGTAGATGACTCATTGAGTACATTACTGTTCATAAATACAGGAAGATCTAGATTCTTATGAAAATGATTGGCTGACAAAAATCGGGTTTTATCTGAATTAAAGTTCACCATGCTGTAGCAGAAGTGAGATCCAATGGTTGCAATTCCGATGATAATGAAATGAACTTCTTTTTTGTTGTTGCTATAGACTTGTTGGCACGATTTTCTAATATTTTTTTTTAGCCAATACCTTTTTTTCTTCTTTTTCTTTGAGTTGCTTAGCAGCATTAACAAATCACAGTTGTTTTCTTTCGCATTTTTCTCTTTCCTGTTGGATTTTGTCTTGGTGATATTTCAGCTTTTCTGAGTATGCTTCTTGATGCGATACTTTCTTTGTTTTATCTAGCTAATTTATTTGGTTTTGATGAACATGAGCTTTTTATACAATTACTCAACACAGAGCCATGGCAATTTATTTTTTAACTAATTACCTTAATAACAATACACAGAGAAAGAGTATTGTTTTGAAGGCAATCAAAAATAAATTAACGTGGATATCATCAATTTTTGTCAAAGCAATTATCAAGTAAGTTTGATTGATATTCATGGCGGTTTTTTTTTGTTAAAACTGTTAGCGTAAGTTCTAATATATTAAGCTGCATCTATTCTCGCCCGCGAGATTAAATGCATTGGGCGACAATGCATTTATTCTGTGGGCGAGATTGAGTTAATTTGGTAGGTTGAGCAGAAAACAATTTTATGCATATTCTAACATTTCAAACGATTATAAATGTTATTACAATCAGAGATTAAACAGTGGAGAACGAAATTAAATTATAATTTAACATGCATAATAAATAATTAACTCAGTAGATTTGCATCTGCTGGTTTGAATTCGGCAAATTAATTAGCAAAAAAATTACCGTAAACCAACAAATTTTCTTTAAGAGATTTTTATTTGCAATTCTTTTGAGGTCAAAATTGATTTGATGTTGATAAGGCTGGTTTGTTGTTCTAAAAGAACGTCTTTTTGATGGTGCAGCGTGTGAGTTAACTGACATATAAGCAGGATCAAGTAGAAGACAAATGACAGGAGCAAGTAGTCTTATCATCAATCTACCATCAACTAGAAGACAGTAGTCTTATCATCGAGCAATTTGAGGTGATTGAAAAGTCGAAAACTGTTTTTTACAAATTTTTTTCTACACAAAACTAGTTCTGCACAAAAATTTTTTTTGTACAAAAATTGTTAGATTTTTTAAAAAAAACTTAACTGCCATGGGAGACAAGGACTAATTTTATATCATCTTATTAGCATTACTTTTAAATAAAGACAAATAAAATGAATAGTTGAACAAGATATATTTTAAACAAAAAGTACAGAAATATATTTATATATTTTTTGTTTAAAATATATAAATATATTTTTTGTTTAAAATATATATATATTTTGTTTAACTATCCATTTTATTTTTCTTTATTTAAAAGTTACTAATACTTACTTTTTATATTTTTCTTACAAACTAGTTGATATTTAATTCAGTAAAAGAAAATTTTTTTAATACTTTACAAAACTTTTATGTTGGTTAATGACTGTTTTCTATTCTTCTATTTATTCTTCCTTGCTTTCTTTATATATTCTTATATGCAAAACTTGTAAATATTTTATATAGGATTAAATATATAATAATAATTGTCAATCGATATATAATTTTTTTTTTACCATTTTTCGTTTTCAATTTAAAATCTACAAAGATTTAAAATGAAATTTTGTAGATTTTAAATTGAAAACGAAAAGAACACATTTTTTGGGACTTAACTTAAAAACATATGTACGGGGGAGGTGTGTACAGACTGTATAAATACAGTGTGTACAGACTGGTTTTAGAAGCCTATTTTGTGTTCGTTGGATAAAAATCAAAAAGGCGTCAAAAATGTAGAAAAAGAAAGTAGCGAATAAAGCTTACAGAAAACACACAAAAATTTATCAAAAATCAACAGAAAAAAGAACAAGCATAACATATATTAAAAACAAAGCTGCTGAAAACGATATAAAGGTAGCAGAGAAAAAGAGAATGGCTATTGAAAAAGCATAGCAAGGTCAATACACACAATATATTTATAATATTATTAATAAATTTAAACTCTGAGTTCCCTAAAGAAAACATAGTAACGCAAGTATTTATTACCCAGCAACATATAAATTATTTTTTTAAAAATAGTTGCTAAGTTAAGTTAATTTTTTTTTTCTTTTTTTAATAATTGAAAAACCACGCAAAACATTTCTAACATTTTACGTGTAATTTATTATGTATCCTAGCATCATGCAAAAGAACTGAATAAATGTTTATTTATAGGGTTTAGATGCTTATTAATTAAATTATAAATACTAAAATTTTTTCTTGCGATAAAGTTTGCAAAAGTAAAAAGAATTTAGCAAGATGCAAGATTTTATTAAATATTCTCTTGTACTTTTATTGTGCAAATTATCTGTTGAAGGTAAATTATGAACTTTTTTAAGTTTTTTGAGTGACATAATTACGGTTTATTAATTTTTTTTTAAAAAACTATTTTTCCTCAAAATAAAAATAAAAATTTTCATATAAGTTTTATTATGGTAAATTTAGATTGTGTTGATCAAGGCAGTTATTGCTCGTCTTACCAACCATTTTGTGATGATCCTGATTACAAAGATTATTTAATCATGGAATGTCAAAAAACGTGCAACTTTTGTCGTAAGTATTACAAATGAAAATAAATATATATACTAAAAAAGTAGAATGGTCCCATGGCAACTATGCATGAATTTGTAATGATAAATGTTACTAGTAGTCAACTACTTAATCTACGAGTATCAATTATCATTCATCAGATAACACCTATCATTTATCAATTAGCACTTATCATTTATTGATAGAAACATCGTAATTAAAAACAAACAAACTTGATCAATCAAATAACTAAAAATCTGAAAGTAAAAATACTATTCACACTGTGAAAACTAAACCAATCTAATTGTTTTTAAATCTTTACGTTGCACAATTAGGTATTGGCGTTAGCTCTTTGGCGGTTAGCACAAAAGCAATTTTTTCTATTACGCGATAAAAAAGGTACTAGGTAAAATGCAAACTGCGAATCGCGAACTGCGAACTGGTAAAATGCGAACTTTTTTGCGAACCATCGTCCTATTGGTTGTTAATGATGTAATGTTTTATTTCCGTTAAATAGCTCATTTAGCGGCACATTTAATGACTTTTAAGCGAAAAAATTATTTAAAAAAAATAAAAGGAAATTAAGTGAAACTAGACAAATACAATATAAAAATTTTTTTGTAAAATTATTTGATAGACTGCCTGCCCAAACTAAACCCTCAGTCGATGTAGCAACACTTCGTTGCGAGTCAGGCTATAAGATAGTCGATGTAGCAACACTTCGCGCATGTTTTACAGTTAAAAAATAAATTTTTTAATTAAATAAGGTTTTAAAATAGATAATTAAGAACTGGAGAGTTTTATTATTATTATTTTTATCATAATAAAAATGGTCTTTAAAATATAATGTTTTGGTTCGCAAAAAAGTTCGCATTTTACCGGTTCGCAGTTCGCGGTTCGTAGTTCGACAATCGATAAAAAGCAATAAAAAATTGCATCAAATTATTACCCAGCAACATAAAAATTATTTTAAAAAATTATAAATTATTTAGATTACAGTAATGAAAGATTTTGTAGATATTCTTTGTTTACGAAACACCTGTTTTACATGTTCAGTATTTCTTATTATTAATCATACGTGATTTTTCAGATAAAAATTGACGCGTGGATTTTTGTCTGAAAAATTATTATTCTTATATATTGTGCGTCGATACTGTGCGTCGATTATTGCGAAGCACTATTGCTTATGCGATTATGCTTTGCAATTTATATTATTAATAAATGAAATAAACTCCTGTTCTAAATTTTTTTGAATTAGTAACTTTCTATTAACCGCGAGAATAACAATTAGCAAAAGATTTTTTATCTACTGCTTACCAAGTTATATAAACTGTGTTTCTCAAGTTATATAAACTGTTTGATCTATATCATGTGATAATGTAAAACTAAACTTTACATCATAAACAATAATGTCTATGATGTATAGTTCTGTTATTTTCAGTATGGGTATTGTTTTTTCGATATTTTTGTGATTGACTTTGTTATCAATTTTTGTTTTTATTATCATAGCTATTGTTAGCGCGATGGGCCCATTTATAAATTTGAAATTTATAATAAAATATCCTAACATATTAAAACAATAAAATAAAATAAAATAATTTATATGTGTATTAGATTTAGTGACAACGACATTGCCAACAACCACACTTGCTAGTAGTGCACCATTTACAGGCTCTGGAGGCAGAGGTGTGCTTTATTATATTTTATTTTGTATTACAAGTTGTTCCACAAAAATATTATATAAATTATTTTTTAATCATTTTTTTTTTGTTGAAATTTTTATGTTGCTAATAGTTTTGTCAACATCATTTTCTTTCTTTTTAATTTTAAATTTAGCTTTTAAAAAATGTTGTTTTTATTTTTTATTATTTATTATTTTTCATTAAACTTCATTTTTTATTATTTGTTTAACCTCTTTTAACTTTTTTTAATTTCGTGTTAATTCTATTTTGTCTTAACTTTATTTTATTTTAATATAACTTTATAATACTTTTAAAAATATTTTTTCATGTAAAAATTATTAAAAATAAATGAAAATAACGCGACAACCGGCGCGCTGTTGAAAATACAAGGTAGAAAACAAAAATAAGTTTAACAAAGTTCAAAGGTGATGATGCATACGTTTCATACGCTTATATTGAAAAAAATAATGGACAATTGGTAAGTTTTTGGTATCTTAACCAAAAAGTTTTTGTAGCCGATCTAAAAGCTAGTATATCTTCTTAATATCTAAAAAAATTAAGAAGTTGCCAGCATTTATTTTATTTTTATTTAGATTTTATTTTTTCAGCATTTTTCAGCATTTTCATTTTTCAGCATTTTTCAGCATTTTTCAGCATTTTCAGCATTTATTTTATTTTTATTTAGACACTCACTATACAAGTAAGGTAAATTAAGAGTTTCATACAAGATAAATATGAAAAATCTTTGAATTTCTTTTTTTTTTTTTTTTAACGGGATCATCTAGGAAATATTTTTTTCAAAAATATCCTTGAAGATAGTTTTCTGTTCTTTTGAGTTCCAGCACTCAACTGCACATTTTAGAGTTTGAAGATCCGTATCAGGAATTAAATTTTTGAGACCGATGATTTTTATTTTTTTTCTACTTTCCATTATTGTCTCCAGATTTAATTCATGATTATTGCACAATAAAATTTGATACTATCTAAAAAAGGTTGCGAGGCTGATTTGTTTTTCATCTGTGACTTAATAATATCATATGTCATTTTATTGTTCATTAGTAAGTTTAGCTTGTTTTGTTGTATAATAATTGATATATCTTTAATAAAAAATAAGGTATGAATATAATTTTTGCTATGTTTTGAAACGTTGAGGAGTGACTTATGTGCGTTTTTTCCAACTACATCAAGCTTTTGCATTAACATTTTTTTATGTTCACACAGCTCAAGACCATACGTTAGTGCTGGAACAGCTAAAGTTTTATATAACTGGACAATCGAGTTTGGGTGAGCAAAACGGATTCCTGATTGAATTAAGGTTTGGATTACCGTCCGGAAATTAGATATTCGGTGATCAATGTTTGATTTATTAAGTGAGGCAAAAGGTGAACTTTTTGTATCCCATGTAAAGCCTAGATGACTAAGTTTATCATGAAACTTTATCTGTTGGTGGTTGAGAGTTATTGTGCAGTTTTTAATTTGCTTTTTTCCGGTGAGCAGAAACTCGGTTTTGTCAGCATTCAATTTTATGCAGTTTTTGTGTGTGTACATATTAATAAGCTTTTGTAGGCCAGAGAGGGTGGAGCTAAGGAGTATAATATCATCAGCATATGCTACAACATTCTTATAGTTTCCATTGATTGATGTACCTACGATGCTTCGTTTTGTAAATTTTCTAGTAGGTTTTGAGTATAAATGTTATACAAGTGAGGCGAGAGAATAGATCCCTGTCTCACTCCTTACGTTAGATAGAAAGGACATGAATTGCAATCTAGATAAGAAACAGAAGCACTGCGCTCATAGTATAATGACAATATGGTATTAACAATATACAGAGGGAGTTTTTTATCATTGTTCAGTCTCTCAAACAGAATGTCCCAGTTGCAGCTGTCAAACGCTTTTTCAGCATCTAGGGAACAGAGATAGACAGGTGAGTTGTTGTTGTTGTAGTGTTTAATTGTTTCACTAATAACGAATTCAGCGTGTAGGGTTGAGCTATTTTAGTGAAACTGAATTGAAGAGGATGAGTTTCTTTTATTTCTGGACAGATTAGTAGGATAAGATATTCTATAAGTTTCGTAAAGATTGCAATGACGCAATTGCCGCAGTAGTTATTTGGATTAGTTAAGGATTTTTTATACGATTTAGCAAGTGGTATTTTAAGTGATGGAGACATTGATTTTGGGGTTTGTCCATCATTAATAGAAAAGTTAAAGAATTTTCTAAGCCATTCTGTTAGTGCTTCACAGTTCGCATTCTTTAAATGTTTAGCTGATATTCTGAAGGCGTCCTTGGATTTGTTTAATTTAAGGCGAGAAATAACCGTTTTTATATTTTCATCCGATATTATTACTTTGTCGAATTTGTGCAAGGTGGAATTTTTAAATTTGTAGAAGTATATGTGATTGCTTTAGAGTTTAATTGATTTTGAAAACTGTAGGCAAATTCTTTAGTAATCGATTCTTTGTCTTTTTTATTATTTATGGTGTACAATTTCAAATTTGCATCTTTTTTTATATTTCTAAAAGTTTTCCAAAAATATTTTGGATTTGGATTTTTTAACGTTTCGATTTTTATGTATTCTTTGTAAAGGTTTTTGTTTTGAGCGTTTTTTACAGCATTGCAGAAATTTTTTCGTGCCATACGGTATCAAATAAAAATTTGCGAGTTTAAATCTTTAACGAACCCAGTTTCCCGCCATTTTTTAAAATAAAATGAAAGAACATTTTACTACGGCTTAACTCGGTTGTCCACCACGATTTTGAATGCAATAACGGTTTTTTCACGGATAAATATTGACTAAGTGCCTCAGATGCCGATTTTATAATAACAGTATATACTTTGATAAGTTCTTCATCGTAACTGTCATTCGTAAAATTGTAAAAATTAAAATTAGTATTTAAGCAATTGTTTTATAATTGTAAAAAATCATTGTTATTCCAGGCATAATTTGGAATGCTGTACTTGTCTGAGTTTTTATGATTGTTTTCTTGAGATGATTGTCCAATAATTCCAACTTCAATCGATACTGGTAAATGATCACTCATGTTTTGAGATAAAAAAGGAATTACGAAAAAATTGGAATAAAGTTCATAAGAAGTAACTTTAAAAAAGTTATTCCTTATGAACTTTATTCCAGTTGTTTCGTAAGAAAATTTAGGTTTTAAACTTAACTTTACCTATATATATATATATATATATATATATATATATATATATATATATATATATATATATATATGTATATATATAGATTCAAAAAAAAAAAAAAAAACTCAACAGAACATGCAATAATCCAAATTATTCGTAATATTTCTGAATTTTTTCAAAATTCTTTGAAAAAATTCATTGAAAGCCCTTGATGACTGGATTTCAAAAATATAAAATTTGAAATCCAACTATTTAGTCTCGGAAAATAAAATGATTTTTTATTTTTATTATATTCAAGCAATTAGACAAATGACAGCATAACTATTTTTTGCATTTTTACAGTATACAAAAAAATTTAAGTGAGTGATAATTTTATTATTACATGACTAAAACATTGTTTTTTTGTTTTTATGACTTTGCAAAAAGAGCATACCTGTATTTCTTACATAAAATGATTTTTTGTTATTACTGGTGTTAAGATTACGGGAAAGGGCTATTCTCAATACATCAAAACAAAGAGCCACTCATTTTTACGATTTTGGAACCATTTGGTCTTTCAAAATGTCCAATCAAACTAAAACTCACAAAGGTTGCCGGAAAACTGTGTGTTTCTTGTACTTGAAAAAAAGCACAAGGACAATCAAGCTTGTTTGAACAAGGACAATCAAGCTTGTTTGAACAAAAGATCAACTTTGAAGATGAACGAACGCCAATTAGGATTTGTAAAGGATGTCGTTCAATACTGCGCAGAAAACCTGATGGAGAAGAGGTTGTCATGTCAAGACTATATGACTTTAAAACCATCAATGTTAGGCGACCTGCAAGCGGACTGATCTGTGATTGCATTATATGTCAAGTTGGGCATCTGAAGCTAAATGAATCCCATCTTCTTGAAAAAGTCAGAGAAATGACAACATGTGAAGAGAAAGCTGTGAATAAAAACTCAACTTCTGACCACAGATGTTTCAAATGGCTCTTGGTTCTCGGGAAAGGAATTTCTCATGTATGCACAGAAGCTAAGTTTCGTGAAAATATGAGACTTTTGGCATCAAATGAGAGTACAGTTGCTCAACAAATTGCAGCTTCTGCAGTAGTTGGCACAGATGCTTCCCCTCAAGGAACAATTCGTATGGCTCAAGCAAAAGGTGGACGACCTTTACCTGTCACCCCAGGTAAAAATGACTTTATTGTAGTATAATTAAATGTGTTTAATTTTATTAGTTCTCAATGCCAAAAATGTGGTCAATTCTTGAGAAAAGTCAATTACTTTAATTGTGATAACTTGTAAAATTTAAATAAAATTGCCAAAATATTTACTTATAGGTCCTTCAAGTGCAAGAAGATTCTTTGGATCAACATCCTTAGTTACTGCAGGGAATCTTGTTTAAGTGTAAATCAATACTGGATTGTTAAACACAAACGTGAAAAAGTTAGCGACAACTTTGAACTAAGTTTCAGCAGTCCGAATTACTGAGCCAAACATTCGCTCAAAATTTTCTGCATTAGGAAACTCACTTGCCGAATTTTTTGATCAAACAGATATCTGATCTTTTTGATCAAACAGATTTTTTGATCAAACTGAATCTGATTTTTTGATCAAACTGAATCTGATTTTTTGATCAAATCTGATTTTTTGATCTGATTTTTTGAATCAACTTTGAATCAATTTTGAATCTGATTTTTTGATCAAACTGAATCTGATTTTTGATCAAACTGAATCTGATTTTTTGATCAAACTGAATCAAACAATCTGATTTTTTGATCAATTTTGAATCTGATTTTTTGATCAAACAGATACCTGAACAACGCAATGGAGTTATTGACAAGAAACTTGTAGTTCACTGTGAAGATCTGCAA